TGGACTCTAGCCACTGCCAGTGGCACTGCAGACCCAACCTGCTGAAAAACCAAAGGACCAAATGTTTCCAACAATGCAGGCTGACATGGAATCTCCACCCAATCAGCAACATCCAGAATGTGATGGAACTGCACCTGCTCCATTTTGGTCGAACACTTGAAAGCTGGATGGTGGTGCTGTGTTCCAACAACTTCCAGGACCACTGCAAGGAAGGCAAAAGAACCTGTGGCTAAGACTAGCATTATGCTGCCATGTTTGTGGCTTGCTATGATGGATCCTGGATTTGCTAAGCAACACAGTTCTGCTGGAGGAAGCCTTTGAGCAGGCACATCCAAAGTATCTGGACAGTTGAACAGGAATTCAAAGGCACATACCTCATTGAAGAGGGACTGGGCAGTGGTGGCAGGCCACCAGTGTTGTCCACTCTTGTATGCCATCATCTGTTGGAACTCCTTGCTCAGCCTGTGAGAACCAGGGTGAGTAAAAGGTGTGAACTTTGGCAGGCTGCTCAATGCAGTGCATGCTTTGTCTTCATCTTCAACCTTGATGTGGTCCCATTTTCTAGTGACCATCATTCTGGATTGCTGCACTGCAAATTGTTTGTGGATCCTGGACCTAATATTGTGTCTAGCATCCCTCAAGATATCCTTGGCACTCTGGTGGGTATTCTCAATGCAGGCTGAATCTCCTTGGCACCTGCAGGCAACCCCCATCATCACTAATGCTGCAGGCTCCACTGACTTGCTCTGCAAGTCCTGTTCATTCATGAGGTAGAAAAGTCTGACAAAGCTGGCCTTCAACACATGAATGAGCTCAAGTGCTGGAACCTCATGCCCAGCTTCAAATTCTGCCTCTTTGCCCAGGATCTTGGTCCAGTCAGACTGGATCTTCTCCTGCATCACCTTGCGTTTGGAGTGATCCAACAAAGGTGCATATCTAAAGGGTGGTCTCAGGTATTGGGCAGCAAGAGAAGAGCTCCTTTTCACAAGGAGCTTCACCACAAGGTCTACATGTGTTTGGAGCCTCTTCTGCAAAAGCTTGGTGTGATGACCATCTTCAGTGAAGCCAAAGCTGTTGTCCTGGTAAAGATATCTGAAGGTCTTGTGGTCCAGGAGGCCTGTGGAAATCAGATTGCACAGTTCTCTCTTCCAACCACCTGCTGCCATCCCAATTGTTTCATGCTCAACATCCACTGGCTTGAGGACCTTTGCAGCCTTCTCACCAAATATGTACCATAGTGGCTGGCAAATGGTTGCAATCAGGTCCTTTTGAAACACACTGGTGGGTGTTACAAGCAATGCAGCAAGAGAGTAGCACCCATGAGCCTGCTTTAACTTGGTGAGTTCTTCTTTTGGTGTCAGGCCAGGTCCAAAAGCCAACTCTGATTGAGCCTGATCTTCTTTTGCAAAATCAATACCATCTGATGGCCCAACATCCAACATTACCATCTTGCTCATCCAGACTTCACCTCTGTAGTGCTTTTCAGCTTCAAACCAAGAGAACCAGCGCATCAATTTGGCCACTGGGCCAAGAGAATTGAAGCTGTTGAGCCTGTGAATTGTGTTGAACACCTCCTCCACACCACCAGAGTCACTTGGCTCTGGAAGCCTTCTCTCTCTCTGTATGGCAGGCAAATATGCCATGAAGGTTGA